GTCGGCTGAGTGGACGGCCCCGTGACGGCCGCCGGGTTTGAACAGCCGTGTACTGTTACATGTAGCTCCCACCTCTCAGTCTGAACTTGGGTTACATGTCGCTCTGCTGAAAAGCCTGCTGGTTTCATTGTACTAACTCGGCATTTATCGGTAGTCTTGTGGATTGTGCAAATTACTTCCTTCTTAAACCGTGCCTTATTTACCCCCCAGTAAAGAGTGGGGGTAACATGATTATTGAGGGCCTTTTGGTTTCTGTGGTTGTAAACTCATACCACCCCTCCCCCCGGTCCCAGCTCAGCAACCAAATCCCTGAGGACTCGCCTCTATAACATTTGCAGAATTTGCAGAAAAATGACAATATGGATATTCTAATTGTATGCATTTCTAACTAAAGGTGTTGGAAAAACGGGTTTTGCTGTCTGCCAAAAATTTCACCAGCACTTCTGCATGAAATCAATGTCTATAGAAGCTGACTCTGGATTTTACAGTCTCAGAAGTATGAAGGATAGGAGGCTCTTTAATGCATATTATAGAGAATTTTCACTAATCAAATTCATATAATTCTCAAACTTGGTCACATAAAAGTTTTCTGTCCCAACTGTTTCCTGTCACACCGATTGCAACTAAGCATTCCTCTGTGTGATTTCATACGTACAAGCGAGCTGCAGAGGAATGAAGAAGGAACGGATTATACTTCAGTAATGAAACACATTGCTAACTTGCCCTGACATTGTTTTCTCACCTTGTTGCCGTTCACCATTTTCAAACCTTTTCTTTTTAAAGACGAGTCGTCCAACTTTAGCAGCATCGTGGGATCTGGTGAGCAGCGCAGCTTTGAGGAGAGACGAGAGGTAACGAGGCCGTGCGTGTGCTCCACTGGCCCCTGAGACGCCACCAGCTGACCAGAAGGCTCCATAAATGGCTGGTGGGTGAACGAGAGGAACACAGTTTGAAATACCTTTCAATAACCAGAAGCACAGTAATGCGAAGGCAGCCAGCCTGTTCAGTCTTTCTGGGACTAAAACCGCGCGTGGGGTGTCTCGTGAATTCCAACCATTTAGCGCCGTGGCCAGCAGTGCGTGTGCGTGTGTGTGCATGCACGTATGTACATGTGCATGGTGAGCCCAGAAGTAACCACCATCACACAAACAAGGAAACAGACTGTAATGATGACTAAATACTGGCATTGGCTCCAGGTCAGGACCCTCAGACAACAGGGGCTGGGTTCAGTCTGTGACTCTCGGGGAACATCAGGCCCATGGGGATGGGGCTGTCCCTGTGAAGCAGTTAATGACGTGGGGCTGTGCACCCCTCGCCCGGGTGGCCCCGCACACACGTGTGGCCCCTGAGCTGCCGACGGCACAATCACGCATGCCGTATCCCCGACCACAGGCTCCTCCCAGGACACGGGCCCTGGCATCTCACATGTGGTCCTGCAGGTGACAGGCAGCCACTGAATGGGAGGGAGTGCCACCCCACGGTGGGCCCATGTCCCAGGGACGTACTCTTTCTTCACATCACAGAAGGCACTTACCGTGTGTCAGCAGCCATGGTCCACAACAGTGCCACAGCAGGCAGACTCCTTGCATGTGAACTTCAGTGCACGTGCCATGCCCCACCATGACTGGTCACCATGTCCACGTGGCCTCATGACAAGCATGCTGGCAGCAGGGCACTGAGGCACGTTGTCCGGATCTATCAGGAGCTCAGTGCAAACGTCTCCGCAGTCTCAGTGGAAGCGGGAAGTGAAGAAAAGCAGGTCACCACTCCTGGTCCCCGAGGTCCTCCCGCGATGGGCCAGGCCAGGCGTCAATGCCATGATCTCTGAATCAGAGCTCTCTGGGAACCCAGGGCAGTGGGTCCTGGCCTGCTGCACAGGGTGTCGCTTGTCACAACCCAAGCATAGGTGGTGAACACTGGTAGTGCGGTGCACAGGCGACCCCTTAAGGACAAACCCGGACTCAAGCTGACAAACCTGAGACCTTACCAGAGAGAGATCACTGCAGTCCCAGGCATGTGAGCACTGCCCCAGCTGTCACACACTTCTCTATTCTCAGCACTGGACCTTTAGCTTTCAACTTCCTCCATAAGCCACGGTGCCAGCCCGCACGCCAGCTCCCTCCAACCCTGGCTCCCAGCTGTGCCCAGGCTCCGCAGGAGAGAAGTCCCTGCTTGGAGGAAAGCGGACCCCATCTGCTCTCTCATCTGCATGTGACCTGACCCCGACCAGCCATGGACACGTTTGCAGAGGCTCTTTAAAAAAAAATAAATGAATGAAAACCTTCTTGAAAACTTTATTAGAGAATCTAGCCCAAGTATGGAAAATTGAAACTCACGCTATTTGTCCAAACTGGCTAACAATAAGCTAAAAAAATAAGAACCATCAGCCAGCATACCTACACTTAACATTCTTAATTCTGGGACAATTTTAAGATCCATGCTAATGTACTGTAAGGGAAATTCCTGTTTAGAAATAATAAAAAACACATTCTCACCTGTAACAGTTTCCACACACATTACACATACAAAAGTCGGAAGACCTCTCTTAGAAACATGTTAGAATGGATATACATAATAGTGAAATAAAATCTGAATAAAAATCGTATTCCAACAACATTTCTCTATTTTTAAATCACGTTTATTGTTTAAGTTTTTATCACAGTGGAGATTAACTTACGCTTAATCACCCAGTGAGTATTTACTGCCAACTTCATCCAACTCCGAAAACAGTAAAATCAACTCACTCGTACACTCCAAGCCTGTCACCTCCCCACCCTTCACTGCCCGACTTCCCCTTTGAGCGACAACGTTAGGATACGATTGTGAAAAGGCATGACTCATAGGCTTGTATGTAAAATACCATTTCTTCAAGTATTCAGAGAGCAGCACACGTGTCTGCAGTGGACGTTAGAAAACTACTCGTGACGTTATTCTACGTGCAGGACAGTGGCTCCTGGTGGAGGGCAACGGAGTTGTATGTCATAGTGTACGCCGCGATTGACAGCATTCCGAATTTTCACACTCTCCCGTGTTAGTGAATAGCATTAGGTAAATGCAGTGCTTCTCTACTCTCAGCTGTCGGACCTAGGATGTCAAACGGTGAATAAATAAAGCTCAACACGTGTAGTGCAAATGCTAAGTAAACAGAATGACCTGAAAGAAACTCAGAGTTGCCCAAGCTGGATGGTGTGGCCGGGAGGTCCTGACTTTGCGATGTCTGACGTGCACCTGTTCTCCAGCGAGCACTGTGAGTGTCCTGTCAGCCCCGATGGCTGGAAACGGCTGCTGGGCCGGGGGCCAGGAAGGGAGGGGGAACAGGACCTCAATTTCAAAACTCAGTGTCAAAAACGGTACAATTTCTCTATCACTTCTGCACATCGTGTAAGGTGTGGATTAAGAAGATCTCAAAGCCCTCAGTACCAGGACGAGCTGCAAAGGTTCCCTGGAAAAGAAGAGTACGTTGGCACCTTTGTGACAGATTGTGTGGCCCAGACAACAAAAGGCATGAAGAGGGTGGTTGTTAAAGTTAGAACTTTGGAAATATAACACCTGGACGATCAAAAATGACATTATAGAAAAGCCACCAAACAGTTACACGAACATTCAAACAATGGCCCTGTTTGAAGACACCTCATAAGAGATAACCGTTCACTGCTCAGGCACTTTAACAAAAGTTGGGCTTTGCAAATGCTTTGTCGAGTACACGTTGAACATAACGTTACGCATGAAAATGAAATAGAAAAAACTATAAAATTCTTCCAGACGCAAATTCCTGGTTCATGGAAAACAAAGTAAAATGTGACAACCAATTTATACACGTACTTAATTGCATATTTTCCCCCAGAAGTGTCCATAGTCCGTAAGAATAGGAAAACAAAAACACAAAACAAACAAAAAACTAAAACCAAAAAAAAAAAAAAAAACCCCAAGAGTACGAAAACCGGTGCCATTATCCTCATCTTCTTCCTCTGCATCCAGTTTTGAGGGAAACGTGTTCTTTCGTGGTAGCGTCCTGAGTTCACACACGTGAAGTTCCGGAGGAGAAACGCTGGGGTCCTCACCGCCTTCGCCCCTCCTGCGCCTGTAGCCCCGCGCCCGGCGGCGGGGAGAGCCCCGCGCCCGCACCCCCCGCGGAGGAAGGAGCCGCCCCTCCGCGCATCGAGGCTGGAAACGGAGGCCTGGCCCGGTCGCTTCGTGATTTAAACGGTTAAGGCTTCTGACCGGCCCCGGGCCGAGCCCGCGGGGGCGCTGGAGCAAAGCAGTCTGCACGCGGCCGCCCGGCGCGGGGCCCGCAGGGCTCGTTAGTGGGTGAGCGAGGGCGTTAGAGCTGCGCGGGCGCGGGCGGCGGGCGCGGGGGACCGGCGGGGGCCGCGGGGCCGC